TTGAGTATTTAAAATTATATCCCACCTCCCTAATTGCCCCAAGTACAATTTGCTTGTTTCACTGCCCACAGCTGTCATAACATGCACTCTGTCTAAACTGGATCCCTTACCTGTGTTTATCTTTTCCCTTTAGTATGAAATGTCTTTACCAGTCAGATCTTTTAAGCCTTTCATTAACTTCTTTCTGGGTGCTCAGAAAATGTGAACATTTGTGGGGATCAAACTTATAATACACAAGTAGGATGAGACATTAACAACTGAGGTAGCAGAATTCAATGGTAGTACCTAACATTTCTCAACCCTGAATGTGCACACCTTGCATAATTTCTTCCCCTTGAGTGTTGTCAGGACCTAAAATATGATGACTGTCACTCCTGTAATTAGGTTGTATTTCATGGCAAAGGTGAAGATGTAATTGAAGTCCCTAAACAGTTTGTCTTTGAGTTCATCAAAAGGGAGATTGATCTAATCAGCTGGGCTCTTTAACAGAAGACTCAGGCTCTTTCTGAAATTAGAAAGAGTCTCCAGCTAGAGGAAGCCAGCACCAAGAGTTCTGCAGCTATAAGGAAATGAATTCTGCCCAGAACCATGTGAGCTTGGAAGAAGAGTCCCAGGCATCAGACAAGACTGTGAGCTAAGCTGACTGACTGCAGCCTTGTGAGATCGAGCTTAGCCGCTCCCAGGCTTCTGAGCCACAGAGACTGTGAGACAGTAAACGGATGTTGTTCTCTGTTCCTAGGTTTGCAGTAATATGTTCTACAGCAATAAAGGTCAAATACAGACTTAATAAACTGATTAGTCAATATTCATAATACTTAGGCTTTGTTACAGTAGAAGAAAACTTTGAATGTAAAGAAGTGTTTTGATAGATATTTTCCTCAACTTGAATATATTCATAAAACTTTATATGATATCACCATAATGTACCATAAACTTTACAAATTGATTAATAATGCATTATCTTTCCTTTGTCTCCATACAAAATATTAAAAACATATTGTCATGAGGAAAGCCAATTAAGTATGTACAAGCTGGGCACCATGGGACATGCCTGTAATTCCAGAGGCTCAGGAGGCTGAAGCAGGGAGGTTCATAAGTTCAAAGCCAGCCTCCGCAAATTAGTGAGGCCCTAAGCAACTTAGCAAGACCCTGTCTCTAAATAAAATATAAAAAGGGCTGAGGATATGACTCCGTGGTTGAGAGCCCCTGGTTCAATCCCTGGTACAAAAAAAAAAAAATAGTGGAGAGCAAACAAACTTAGAAATGAAAGCTATATAGACTATGTCAATAAAATAAATAATAAAATAGCATGTAATTCTCTGAATTCTATGATTTTTAGTATATGTGTTTCAAAATTTATAATTTGTTTTGATTTTATCTTTCATTCTAAAAAAATTCCTTAGTGCCCATTTGCAATTGACAATTTTGTAATCTTCTTTAAAAAAAAAAAAAAAAAAAAAACCCTTGTGAACTTCTCCTTAGTGTTCTCTTTGACCCCTGGAGGGCACTGTTGCCTAGATAGAAACTGCCTTTCCTTTTTATTAGAATAAATTCAAAACACCTTCCTTCCCTACAATTTAAGGAAGAGCTCTGCTGAACATTTTTCAGATGGGGACAATATGAAGAATCTCAGAGGCCAGAGGCAGGTGGGTTTGTTAACAGTGCCTTCGACAACCCGAAGAAGAAATCTAAATCCCCTGTCCTTGGCCCATACCCTCGGAGCCACCTGAGTCCAAGTCTGCCAGTCCTCAGACTCTATTTGGTTGCAGAGGATCTCCCAGGAAGCTTCCTCACTGCTTGCAAGGGCTTTTTATAAACTCAGCGCTTCAGTTGCCCCTGTTCACAAGAGACTGTCACTCTGTCCGTTGTCCATAGATGGAACACTATCTTGGTGTGACTCTGAATAAAGACTCTTGGGTTGACTGAGCTCTACACGCAGCACTGATGTTGTAGGAGGACACGGATTCCAGCCAGTGACCCAGCCTGCCACTGCGTCACTGTCTTTGAAGGAGCCCCTCTGTGCAGCAACACCCCAGCCGAGGCCTCCAGTTCCTCCTGAAGTACATACCAGAAAAGGGCTTGCTTGTTGCAGGCATCCAAGGCTTTGAGGCTGAATTCAGGAAGAGGGAAAACTCCTTCCACCTGAGGAAACCTTCAGATCATTGGAACAACAGGACTGAGTACTTCTGTGCCCTGAGTCTGCAGAGCTGAATACAAACCACCTGATGTGCAGGTTAAGGAACCAGGGTCTCAACCTCCGTTATTTCAGGAATTTGGCTTGTTCTTTGAAGGCCAACAGAACAGAGAAATAAAATCTTATAGAGTGCTTAGTGTCTATAGAGATCTTACTGGTTGTTTGCCGTATTGAAAAGGAAGGATCCTGATTTCTGAAGGGCAGCATTCTTATCCTAGAGAGTCAGGATTCTCCAGGGAATTACACTACAGGATTCTCAATAAACCTAAGAAAGTTACTTGCCTGCATGTCATTTGACATAATGATGGGTTGAGATGGCTTGAGGTTGGTTGTATAAATTAGTGTAAGGCAAATCAGAGATTTGCTTTCCATCATTAATCTCATCTCTCAAGCAATCCAGAAACTCAGGAGAATTGCTTTTCCCCCCCCCAAACTACATTTTCTCCAGATTATTTTATCCAATCTGTTGACTTCAGTGATAAAGAAGCCTCCTCAAAGAGCTAAACTGTGTGAAGTTGACTTAAGAATGTGTACATGGTTAGCTTTCCAAAGATCTCCATAAGTGCTTTTATTGTATTTATAAAGATGTTTGTCTTGTTTACAAGCTATCTGAAGGAAGATATAGTGTCTGATTAATTTTGCATTTCTGCAGATCTAGAACATTCTTAAACATATTGGCTAAACTGAAATTGAACCACACTGAGGAACTCATTTTTTTAAGCTCATAAATTAAAAGGATGGTTTTAATATCACTACATAAAAGAACTTACATTCATAAAAGTCACTATGGGCACTTAAAGTACAAATTATGCTACTTTCTGTCCTCCAGACTCTTCTTGCCTTCAAGTTAATCCACAGGTACAGCCCTGAGGAAAGACATCTGGGATGAGCTCTCTGAGTGGGCTGGGGAGGAATAGCCTTAAGGATTCAGCCAACCAGAGGACCCCATAGGCTCTTCTTAAACTGAGGGACTCTCCTAAGGGGTCTAATAGTGAGTGAATAATTGTTGAATGATTCTAGAAATTCTCTAATCATGGAGATGAGAGCTAGTAATAATCAAGAGAGGACAGAATGATTTATGTGAGGAAGTCATTATTATTAGCATATAAAAAAGCTGGTTTTTGCTGAATATGCCTTTCAATTAATAGCTCTGACTTCTAAAACAAGATCAGTGACTGACTCAGGGCTTCTTTTCTGACTTAATTCCTTAAAGTTTACAGCTGTGAACTTTACAGTGTACATCTATCTAAATGTACTTTGTTAGCATAATATTTATTTGCATCATTATTTGTGCATCTTACAAAAGTATTCCCGGTTTAGAGGATCGTGTAAAGAAAAAAAAAAAGAAAAGAAAAAAAGAAAAAGAAAAGAAAGAAAGAAAAGAAAAAAAAAAGAGAAGAATCCCAGAGAATAGAAAGGAGATTTTTCTCTTTTTTCTGAGTTTTCACTTTTATTGCCTAGGATTTTTAGGTAGCAAAGAAAAATTCAAACTTTATTTCACAGGTTCAAAACTATTTCATAACCACTTAGTGCAATATTTTATTTAATATTCCTTCTATCCTTTTCTAGTAGCTAGAAGAGAGAAAATGTAAGAAGAAAAGGGAGATTATAGAAGTTTAAATGTAATAGGAAACAGGAATTATAAAGAAAAGGGGATTTACGGAACTTAAGGCATGAGCCACAGGACATTTGTATAGGATGAGAATTATATTTCCCATCCGAGGTAGCATGTAGAAATGACATCTGAATTGATCTTATCAACCCCCCACCCCGTGATTCACAGACTTGTTTGGGTCATTTCTTACATGTTAAATCTTTCTTTTAGATTTATTTTTAACTGATATATAAAAACATAAAAACTCTATTAATGGGGGACCATGTGATATCTTTTTCTTTTTCTTCTTCTTCTTTTTTTTTTTTTTTTGAGTGCCTGAGAAATGAATCCAGGGGTACTTAACCACTGAGCTACATCTGTAGCCCTTTTATTTATTTATTTATTTATTTTTATTTATTTTGAAACAGGGTCTTGCTAAGCTGCTGAGGGCTTTGCCAAGTTGCGGAGGCTGGCTTTGAACTTGCAATCCTCCTGTCTCAGCCTCCCAAGCTTCTGGGATTACAGGCATTTGCCACCACGCCTGGTCCATGTGATATGTTGATAGGAGTATACACTCTGCAACATTTAAATCAGGTCAAACATAACTCTCTCTCAAAAATTTATCGTATCTTTATGGTGAAAATTTTTAAATCCTTTCTTCTGGTTTTTGAAAGGTCCAGTACATTGTTATTATCTACAGTCACTCTATAGTACAATAGCACATAAGAGCTTCTTGCTCCTCCTAGCCCTAATTTAGTTCCCCTTCACCAACCTTCCCCCACACCCTTTCCCCTTAAGGGATAATTTCTTATACTAATATTTTCAACAAATCTTGATTACTCCAGGAGAGTCCCAGTCCTCATATTTAATGTATTCCAATAATAAGAATTCATCAAGTATATACTAGATAGCATTTATAGTCTTACTTCTTTGTGTGACTGGAGTGACTTTGACCTGAATTAATGTACAGGTCAGTGTCCTTTAGGAAGGATATACACCTATTTTCTGGGTTGAGCTATGTGGATGTTCTATGATCCTCCCCAGGATCTAACTGCACAGATGAGGCAGTTTTCCTTTGGAGGAACCCTTCCCCCTCCTTGTCTAGGTCCCTGCACCCTCCTTACCATTCCAGGCTTATCAGAAAGTGTCCCTCAGGTAATGGACTAATGATCTTCGCCTGTCTCCCTCACTCCACCTGGCTCCACCCAGATTCTCAGCCAGGGTTAGGCTGGCAGAGGGGCTTCAGGCACAGAGGGCTGTAAAGGAACTTGCAGTGTCTGGGTCTGAGCAGGGTTTGTAGGTGGAGCTGATTAGTTGCAGGAGCAGAAACAGTTTCAGAGCCAAGTCCTGACACCCACCATCCCAGGATCCTGTCTTACAACCAGGCCAAGTCATGAAGAGGCAGCTGGGCGCTCTGCTGGGGCTTTTGTGCACCCACCTTTGCTGTGAGTTGGGCTGCTTCGAATTCAGGGAACCAAGGGTTTTGCAGCTGCAGCATATGGAGGAGAGGGAGGAAAAGGAGCTCACAAGTCTTGCAAACATTCTATAATTTCCATAATGGATGGGGTGTTTTCGTAGATGTTGCCTTGCCGTGACTGTCACTTGTAACTGTTTTTCTCTTTCTAATCAGGTGTGAGAGGGATGCAGGTGGAGCAGAGTCCTCCAGCCCTGATCCTCCAGGAAGGAGCCAGTTCCACTCTGCTGTGCAATTTTTCTACCTCTGCGAACAATGTGCAGTGGTTTCGCCAAAATCCCGGGGGACGCCTCATCAACCTGTTTTACATTCCTTCAGGGACAAAGCAGAGTGGAAGACTAACGTCCACGACAGTCTCTAAGGAACGCCGCAGCTCCTTGTACATTTCCTCTTCCCAGACCACCGACTCTGCGGTTTATTTCTGTGCGGTGGGTGCACAGTGCAGCCCAGGCACCTGCAGCTGTTGCACAAACCCTCAGCGGCTCGGCCCCTCCCCCAGCCACAGGCTCCTCAGGAGGCCCTGGGACAGCACTTGCACCTTTATCACTCATGTTGATATGATAGAGTTTTACCCACAGATATTTTTGGCCTCATAAGTCTGGGAATATGGTTTTAACATTCCTTCTCTGTCTATACCTTCTGCACTATAAATCTCTAACTTGGAATTAGCAGAGCAGCTAATAAGAGGACTGGATAGATATAAATATTAAATGACAGGGTGCTGGATTCCCAAAGGGAAAGGATGAAAAGGAGAGAAAATCATTCAGATAAAGATGTTATTGGCAATGATGCAGCCTAGTTGGTGTCAGGCACATCCAGGTCTGCCTCACCAGAGTGTGACCACAGGCCTGGGCAGATACTGGACTTGCAGCCCATCTCCCCTGAGCAGCAGAGAAAAGGGAAACTTCACTGAGTGCTCCTAGATGATAAATGGATGTGGGGATGAGTCTGAAGGCATATGTTCCACTCGACTAAGTCCCATGCATGTTCTCCAGGCTTGTTGGGTGGCCTAGCACCTGATCTGTCCTGCAGAGTGTTCCCTGCATGCTTGAGAAGAATGTGTGCTCTTGTTGAGCAGACATATGTCAGATCTACTTGCTTTACAGAGTTGTTCAAGTCTTCTATTGCCTTGCAATTATTCTGTCCAGTTTTCTTATCTATCACTGAATCTGAGGCACTGAAATCTTCAACTACCCTTGTTGAATTCTCTCTTTCTCCCTGCAATTCTGACAGTTTTTGCTTCACGTGTTTGGGGGAGTCTGTCATTAGATACATATACATTTATAACTTATATTTTCCTAATGTTATCAACTCTTTCATTATCATAAATAATCTATTTTTATCTTTGGTAATTTGGAGTTTTATAGTATATTTTTTCTGATAATAGTATAGTAACTCCTGCCCTTTTATGGTTGTTATTTACATGATACAGTGTTTTTGGTCCTTTTAACTTATTTGAATCTACTGCAGTTTGAATCTGAAATGTCTACCAAAGGCCCTGTGTAAAAAAAACTTAGTCCTCAGCCTGGTGATAGTAAGAGGTAGGGCCTAGTAAGAGGTCTTAGGTCATTAGAGGCCTTCCCTCCAAGGAGCCACTTTTCTCTTCCTCTCTTTAATTCCAGGCTACCAGGAAGTAAGCACAAACCTCTGCCATGTGTGCCCTCCATAATATATTACCTTACTTTAGACTCCAAAGTAATGGGGCTAATTGGTCATGAACTGAAACCTTCAAAACTGTGAACCAAAATAAACCTTTCCTTTCTTTAAGACTATTACCACAGGTATTTTGTTATAGAAACAAAAAACTGCCTACACAGAAAATTATAATGGAAAACTAACACACCACAGTACTCATACTGCCAAAAAAAAATTGATTTTGGATTTCCTAACTTTACATATTAGAATTTAAATCCAGTGACACAGAAACATGTTTAATGGAACTAGTTATTTATAAATTTGAATCATGCAAAAATAAAAATTCTCCTATCTCAAAAACTTTCTTTTTTTTTTTTAACAGCTCACAAACCAAAGGATAAAAGCTGGGCACAGTAGCACAAACCTGTAATTCCAACTATTCAAGAAACTGAAGCTGAGGCAGGTGGATCATGAGTTCAAGGTCAGTCTGTGCAACACAGTGAGATAGAGAAATGAAGACGTAGGGCCTAGTAGGAGGTCTTTGAGCAGACTGCATAAAAGAAGATATTCCGATAGCCAATGAGCACATGAAAGGATGTTTTACATCAGGGTCAACAAAACATGACCTCTGAGCCAACTCCAGAGGTTCACCTATTTTTATGAGGTTTTACTGGAACAAAGCAAAGTCATTTGTTTCTGTGTTGTTAATGGCTTTTTTTACTCTGCCTTGGCAGAGCTCTCAGTTGTAACCAACTGAATGACCCACAAAGCTGAAAATATTTTCTATTTGACCCTTTGCAGAATATATTTATTGACTTTTATTCCACACCATTAGGCATCAGGAAAAAGAGAAGTGAATACCACAGTAAATGTCACCACACATTCATTATTTTGGCTAAACAAAAAGATGATTATATCAGTGCTGACAAAAAATGTAGAAAAATTGCCTAATCTAGAGGCTATTTAAGGACATGTTCTCTTCAGTGTGAAGGGCTCACCCGGGTCTGACACTGACTCCACCTGAGGACCAATGTATGCTTCTGAGGGGACCCCTGAGCAGGTGTGGTACATGTTTGACATTACAATAGCCATGAATCCAGCAGCCCAACCAATTCCTCCTAATCTTCCTGAGACTGCCTCTCACAGGTGAACTCAGCCAAGGCTAAAATGTCCTTCCATCCGAAGAAGTCATGGGTTCAACCCCTCACATCAGTGCTCTTATGAGGGGCTGCTGGACATTTTCAAGAGGCTGTAGGAAATTGTTCAGTGTGACCTCCCTACACGGCCACAAAGGGGCAATGCTGCTCTAGTGAAGGTTAACATTTGCCTCTCCTACCCATATTCCTCAGGTAGCCAGAGATTAGCCTTGTAAAAGTCTCGTGATCTGTTATTATCTCGTGATCTGTTATTATCTATTCCTCTTCAATTTATTTTGATATCAAACATGTATCTATGTATCTATCCTTCTATCCAAGTAGTATCTGTTCATCCTGGTCTCAGGGTTGAAAAAATACGACTTAGGTAGGTAATATATCTTGGCAGACACATTTGTCCTTCAAGGTCAGGGTCGTATTAACTCCTTTAATATGTTTATGATATTTTCACCCACACGCAGCCTAATCTCCAGACACACCGACTTAACCTATGCCTGGAATTCTCTGATCGAGTCTTTTTACTGGGTTTAAGGCCCAGTTTAAGATCTTCCTCTGTCAGGGCCCTTCTCTGACTGGGTCCAGAAGCAGAATTACTCACTCTTTCTTGTGTCATTTGTCTAGACATTCAGGTCTTTGGGGTGGGTTTTTGCCTTGCTGTCCTTGAATATTTATACCAGGCTGACTGAAGATTGGGACTGTGTTTTTCATGACTGGGGAGCAAGCACTGTTCATTTAGTAGGCACCTACTAGGCCTTCAGTAAATAGTCAGCAGTCCCTCCTTATCCTCAGTTTCACTTTCTGGGGTTTCAGGTCCCTGGAGCCAATCATGGACTAAAAACATTAAATGGGAAATTCAGAAATGAGCCTTTCATAGGTTTTTAATTACCACTGTTCCAAGGAGGCTGATGAAATCTCCTGCATTCTGCTCCTTTCCACCCAGGACTTGAATCATTCCTTTGTCAACACACTCACACTGCGCATGCCACCTGCCCATTTGTAGCCATCTCTGTTATCAGATTGACTGTCCAGGTATTATAGTGCTTGTGTTCATGTAATACTTATATTACTTAATAAAGACCCCAAAGTTCAAGAGTAGTAGGGGTGGCAATCTAGATAAGCCAAGGAGAACCATAGTATGTTTGCTTTACTGAAAAGGCGAAAGCTTATACATGCATAGGTATTTATGCACAGGAAAAAAATATAGTGTAAGTAAGGTACTTTTTAGGTTTCAGGCCCTCACTGGACGTTTTGGAATATATCTTCTATGGGGGGACAGTATGGTACGTTGAATACATGTCCAAATGAGTAAATGAAAAAGAAAACATGTTAAAATGAAATAAGCAACTTAAAAATCCCCGAGGATGTTAGATTAAGGAATGTGGGCCACAATCTCCTGTTGACTGTGATGCTGTTCTTCTGTGGATTTGAGATGATATTAAATATGATACAACACAAATCCTTTCAATGTTTCAGAAAAACAGATGTCCTCCTCATGTTCTTTCAACTTCTATTGTTTATAATTCAAACAGTTCCTGCATGTGGGGCTGCTTTGGAATAGTCTCAATTTCTGCCTCTGTGCTTCCCTTGTGAACACCTACAACCAAACTGATTCTTCATATTGTCCTATTTCACCCATGAGAATAAGCTGTGAAGAAAATATTATATGTTTATTCAAACTCAAGGTGAGAGCCACAAAAAATGCTGCTTTGCTGGATGGCCACAGCCTCTGTCTTCAGAGTGTTGCCATCTCCTCTTATCTATGTGAAGATCTGAGCTCCTCCAGAACAGAGAGTTCAGCACTACTAATTTGTTTTCCTCAGGTATATTCTTAGAAGCATCTAATTTACCTGAACCATGTTTTGCAAGAAAGACAAGGAAATTGAAATAGATTTAATTACCTTCTATCATAGCCCAGATTCATGTAAAATCTGGAAACATCTGAAAGACTGTAATCACCTTTAAGCTCCCTCAGGACAAAGGGATCATATATTCTCTATGAATCTCATATATTCTCTTATATTCTCATATATTCTCTCTGATCCATGACTTTAGCTTAATGAGATACTATGCCCATGTGTTTCCTTAATAAACTTTATTAATACCTAAAATAAAAACAAAATGTCCCTATTCATGCTGATATTGTGGCTTCATAGGAGTCCCTGTCTTCCACCATGGTAAAATAAAATGATTTCTACTGACAAGCCAAACAATCCTAGTGTGTGATTTTTAATATTCCAGGGGAAATGAAGTAAAGGTAGAAGGGGATTAGCAGAGAGGAATTTTAAACTGATCCTAATCCATGTGTAAGGAGGGGATTTTTGATTCCCCCTAAGTGTATTTTCAACAATTCTAAATTTGGACAAAACAGGAAGTACTTCCTTGTCAAAAAGTTCTCAGCAAAATTACTTGTGCAAAGGTGGAGCCTGTTGATAGAATTGCAGTACTCGCAAACTTAGAGTGAAGCTCAGCTGTCTGGGGAGCCTAGAAGACCAGCTGGGTTCTCACTGGGCTGTGGCTCCTGGAGGAATGGACAAGATCCTGGGAGCATCACTTTTAATCCTAGGCCTTCACCTCACTTGTGAGTTGTGGAGGAAAAGCCCCAGTTCATGTGATTAATATGGGGAAATGGAAAATTGAGACACAGACAAATCTTGCAGGTAGAAGCGTAGGAGGGAAATATAAATTTGTTGGCCTAATGACTTTTTGTCATCTTTCCAAGCAGGGGTGAGTGGCCAACAGAAGGGAAAAAGTGACCAGCAGCAAGTGAAGCAAAGTCCTCAATCTCTGACTGTCCAGGAAGGAGGCAT